AAGATGTCGGCACCATGTGACGAGCAGATGCTGCACGCAAAACCGATGCATGACGAACGGAGTCATCAGTCCTAAGTGCTGGGCCTACAAGGAGAGAGTTATTAAAGGGGTGGGGAGGGGAGGAAGGAAAAGTATGTGAAGGAGAAAGAAGGGAGGCGTCAGCAGTAGTCTGTTTTCGCTTACCCGCCCTGCTGTATGCAGCAAGTGAGGCGACCCGGCTGATGGCACCACGCGACGGCCGATGTGGCATGAGTTTATTTGTATATGTGCGATTCATGGTTGTACGTGGGCTGGGATACTGCCAGGGCGCCCACACCTAGACAGGAGGACGATTAGGGTCCTCATCCAAAGCCTTTGACTCAAAAGCCTAGCCGCAAGGCAGCGGTGTTCGGCTGGAAATGCAAGTTTATTACCTTTTTCTTTTACGGAACACGTCGCCGTACATGATCCAACCCCCAACCTGGAGGGCCAGGAGACTGTGTTCGTTAGACCTCTAACCATTAACCAACCTGGTATGAGAGACTCTGTGAGTGTCGTGGGACACTCTCCAGTATAGCTTAATGGATCGCTGAGGTGCGCAAACCGTCACACCACGGTAAGGTCCTCTTCCTTCGTGACAGTATCTCACTATTAGCCCGCCTTATTGAGGCTCTCGAACTTTGAGCTCTGAACTTTCCTCAACAGCACACGTTACCAGATCGGTAAGGTCCAGTCTCTTCGTGACAGTATCTCACTATTAGCCCGCCTTATTGAGGCTCTCGAACTTTGAGCTCTGAACTTTCCTCAACAGCACACACGTGTTACCAGATACAGTGACCAGGCATCGCCCATCAGCGCATTCATGTCACTCAGAATTTTCCGAAAGAAATGTACACAAGACTATCAGTTGGTGCCCATCGGAACACACCCATCCACTCCATGTTCTAAAGTGACCGAACGCCAGAACCAACTTGTGTGCACTTGAGTCACGAAGTTGCGTGACCGAAAACGAGAAAAGTTTATGGCAAAGTCAATTTAGATGCTGTATTTGTATGCTCGTCCTTAACATGCAAGAGCTAACTGCTGTGCGGCTTGCTTCATAGTACGAACAATAAGAGGTAGTCGGACTGAGCGTCAGAATTAGAAGGGCTTGTGGTTTGCAGCCGAGCTATACGTAGATCATCCAATGAGAGACGAAAGAAGATGCCAGTCCAATCAAAGAAAAGGAAAAGCAAAGTGATCCATCTGTGACAAACCACTTAGGGCAAGGCAGTTGGTACCGACTATAACCCAAAAGTGCAATCCAACCACGGCTTTATGGCCTACCAAAAATCCACAAACCGGATGTTTCGGTGAGACCGATAGTAGACGGGATAGAGTCCCCACCGCATGAGCCAGCCAGATTCTTGGCAAGTATCCTAAAACCCCTCTACAAACGTGGCAAAAGGGGACTCTTTAGAAATAGCCAGGCGACTGCTACTAGCGGATACCACCCTTTCAGAACGGACACAGCTTACGCTAGATGAAATAGTGGAAGGTATAAAACCATGCCTGAATATCACCTACTTCTTTTTTAATCCGTGGTTTACACAAGCGCAAGGTCCAGCAATGAGATCTTCAATATCCCCGGTTTTGGCAAATATATTTGTGGAAGGATTTGACCAGAAAGCTTTAGCCGGATTTCCATACCCACCCAAGATATTCTGGCGTTATGCAGATGACACCTTCGTAGTAATGAAACGAGACATGGTCAGTGAGTTTTACATGGGGTGAGATGGCTCAAGTGGTTAGAGCACGAATTTACTGGCTGGAAGGTCCGTGGTTCAAATCAGACCTCTGCCTCTCGATTTCTGTCTAGGCTTGGGCAACATGGCAGTGTCCCAGCCCTTGTGCTTCCTTCGGGTAGTATGCCAGCTAGGCACCGGAAGGGTGCTATAGCTGAACGTCAGTGAGTTTTACAACTATCTGAATGAACTGAATCCACACATTAACTTTAGTATGGAAATAGAACCAACTTCGGGTATACTGGCCTTAATAGACTGCACGACATAAGGTCAGGAAAAAGCTAAAGGTCATTGCACGAGAAGCCAACCGACACTGGGACAGGTCTGAAATACTCGTCTGCCCATCCGAATTCGGTGTTCGCCAGTATTACTCAATCGATGCTTAGGCACGTAAGGGACCTTGCACAGAAGAAGCTGATCGGACAACGGCTTGAATTGAAGTAGAGGACAAACTTTGGGTTAGTGGATATCTAGCGAGGTGGGCCAAGTGTTTAGGGTGCGAATTTGCTGGCCGGAAGGTCCGTGGTTCTGCCTCTTGACTTCCCTGTCTAGGCTTGGGCAACCTGGCAGCATCGGGTAGCATGCCAGCTAGGCACCAAAAGGGTGCTACAGCTGAACGATTATCATTATTTTTATTATTATTATACCTAACTAGGCGTCAGTTGCGAAGGTTGTTAGTACCGGTAGGGAAACTCAGCAGGGAATGGATTGGGACTGTTGTTATTCCATATAAATCGGGGACATCGGAGATCATTCGAAGGATTCTAAACACGGCTATCATAAATAGCTTTCCAGAGGGGGAACACTGCACTTTGCACTTGTGCAATTGAAGGGTCACCTTCCTGCAAACAAAACCAGGGACAGTGTTTACAAAATTTAATGTAACGACTGCACTTAGGCCCATATAGGACAGATGGTCAGGGAACTTCAGAACTTCAGGGAACATCAGAATCGGGGAGCACAGAAGGAAATTAAATAGGCCGCCAAGAAACCCCGATGAATATTAAGTGTTACTAAAAGACCCGGCAATTTCGGAACACGCACTGGACACGGGACACAAAATGTGTTTAGAAAATGCTGAGGTTTTGGGGCGATGACTACGGTGTGCGTCACAGAGACTGATAACCTAGGCGGTAGAAGGCGTGGAACTGGCAAGCGTGTGGAGGACAGCCTTGGATCAGTCGAGCTAACAAGTGTTTGTGTGCGATTATCAGGAGTAGTCATCGTTTGAATTCCACTTTACCTTACCCACCTCCCTTCCGGCCAACTAGATTGTCGCAACATTCACAAGCCCACGAAGACCAACGAAAATCCACCAGTGGCACCTGCGGTGAATCATCAATTGAAGCACCCCGAAGAATAAGGGACAAGAACTGTTCGAAACTAATTTGAAACTCCTCCAACTCATCAATGCAAGATTTTAGCAACCACAGCAACCGACAAGAGTCGTTGACTGACACTCAACACTGATCTAGTGTGATAATCTGAAGAGGTCTTACTGACTGGTTCTTCGTCTGTCCTAAAACCTGGCCACTTTGGTGACCTGCTCAATTGGCCTGATGAAGCTTTTGTGTTAAAAGCGAAACGTTGCCCAATTAAAAAAACGCCGATTGTTTACCAGAACCTTCTGAAACGATGACTTCTTAATCGGTCCCAAACCTTTCCCAATTGATTGAAAGTGATCTGTCTGTACGTCAGTGAAGCATCGGTGTTGAACACTAATGTCATGCTGTCGATTATGATGATGATCTATGAGCCATAGCCTGTTCCCGATTCCTCACTTTGATGCCAGATGAGCTCGCTAGTGTCACAGTACTACGGCCGATGTGGTATGAAATTACTCATAGCTTCTTGGTTATACGTGGGCCGTCCAATTGCCAGATTTCCCAAACCTGGACAAGAGAGTGGTCAACAGTAAAAGTCTGACTTAAAATCATGGCTAGTTCAGACCATCAGGGTAGTCTGAATTTTAAGTGGCATGTCGCCGTACGTGTGCCAGTCTCTAGCTTAGCTACCAGGGACATTGTTGGCCAGATCACTGCCCATCGACAGATGCGATGTGAAAGGCTCTCTGAACGTCGCAAGTACATCCACCAGTATAGTTCATTGGGTTCCGCCCTACTATTGTGAGATACAATTTCACAATATTGGTCTCTCGGGTGCGTTTATTGTTTGTTGCTCGGGTGCATGCTAATCTGTTCACCGAGCTGTGCAATTACCTTGCAAACATTTCGTCACCCAATACGGAGATGTCATTAGTGCGCGATTGGGTGAGTATTTCTTGCTTATCTATGTGGCTTCGAAGAATATCTGTTATCTGAACGTGATTTATTACTGGGGACAGTCTCCTTGTGGGTTCATCGATCTCTGCGATTTGCGTTGCGTTATGACGGACCTTTCCGTGATTTGATGCGTATTCCGACTCCTGTCTTCAGTAATTTGCCTCCCTTCTTTCGATTGGTTTCCCTTCTTTCCCTTCACAACGCAATACCTTCTTGGTTTCCTTCTTAGATCTCTTGATATTAAATATATCCTTCGTACCTCACATACCTTTTGTTCCTTCCTTCTGACTTCGCTGGTGTAAGCTCCTACAGTTGTTTCTTATTTACATCATGCTTGACTGTAGATTAACCTTGTATCGCCCTCGTACATTTATACGTTTGTCGTTGATTCCAGCTGCTTGGTGGTGATGACCCTTGCGATTCGGACGGCCAAGATTCCCGCATGGGTGAACAGTGTCCTGATCACACCAGTATGTTTCCATTTACCAACGCCGACATAAAGTACGTAGCATCCTCAGAAAAAGGTGCTTTGAGTGGTCTGGACGCGCGGGACATAATGCTTCTGGATAAGGGTCCATCTCGACCAACTACACTGTCGCGTCATTCGCCGTTGAATGTAATTAGCACTGGTGATCCAGAGAGAGCCGCTGACGAACATCAAAATGGCACCTCCTCTTCAGAGCAGTCCCCGGGTTCTGAGACACCGTCCACGTCTTCTGAACAGGTACTGGACTCGAAGAATCCACCAGTCCAATATATACCATCATCCGAGATTGACCATCATCAGGTGTGTTCGGCCACCACTTATCAATCATACACATGATGACTATTTGGCTGTTGTTTGTGGGGCGTTTCTTGAGTGAAAATCAATAACTGCTTCATGAGTGTTGACTGGATTCCCGGTGAAACGGTTATAAACTCTATAGACCAAGTTTCCTTTACGGAAGGCAAAACGTTACCGAAAAGCTGTTGGGTTGTACATGATCGTTGCCCGCGCCTTAGGAAAACATAAGTAGTTGCCCTCTTTCTGAGGAAATTGCTTATTTTCCACATCACTACTCACACAAGATGAGCCTGTTTCGAGCACTGAAGTGACAGGATAAATGACGATAGGTACAACGACCAACCGTGGTCAGGATGATTGATTGTGGAAACTTGTACCCTCTTATTCCAGAAATTTCAGAACATGCTCAGTCATGCACCATGTGACGAGCAGATGCTGCACGCAAAACCGATGCATGACGAACGGAGTCATCAGTCCTAAGTGCTGGGCCTACAAGGAGAGAGTTATTAAAGGGGTGGGGAGGGGAGGAAGGAAAAGTATGTGAAGGAGAAAGAAGGGAGGCGTCAGCAGTAGTCTGTTTTCGCTTACCCGCCCTGCTGTATGCAGCAAGTGAGGCGACCCGGCTGATGGCACCACGCGACGGCCGATGTGGCATGAGTTTATTTGTATATGTGCGATTCATGGTTGTACGTGGGCTGGGATACTGCCAGGGCGCCCACACCTAGACAGGAGGACGATTAGGGTCCTCATCCAAAGCCTTTGACTCAAAAGCCTAGCCGCAAGGCAGCGGTGTTCGGCTGGAAATGCAAGTTTATTACCTTTTTCTTTTACGGAACACGTCGCCGTACATGATCCAACCCCCAACCTGGAGGGCCAGGAGACTGTGTTCGTTAGACCTCTAACCATTAACCAACCTGGTATGAGAGACTCTGTGAGTGTCGTGGGACACTCTCCAGTATAGCTTAATGGATCGCTGAGGTGCGCAAACCGTCACACCACGGTAAGGTCCAGTCTCTTCGTGACAGTATCTCACTATTAGCCCGCCTTATTGAGGCTCTCGAACTTTGAGCTCTGAACTTTCCTCAACAGCACACACGTGTTACCAGATACAGTGACCAGGCATCGCCCATCAGCGCATTCATGTCACTCAGAATTTTCCGAAAGAAATGTACACAAGACTATCAGTTGGTGCCCATCGGAACACACCCATCCACTCCATGTTCTAAAGTGACCGAACGCCAGAACCAACTTGTGTGCACTTGAGTCACGAAGTTGCGTGACCGAAAACGAGAAAAGTTTATGGCAAAGTCAATTTAGATGCTGTATTTGTATGCTCGTCCTTAACATGCAAGAGCTAACTGCTGTGCGGCTTGCTTCATAGTACGAACAATAAGAGGTAGTCGGACTGAGCGTCAGAATTAGAAGGGCTTGTGGTTTGCAGCCGAGCTATACGTAGATCATCCAATGAGAGACGAAAGAAGATGCCAGTCCAATCAAAGAAAAGGAAAAGCAAAGTGATCCATCTGTGACAAACCACTTAGGGCAAGGCAGTTGGTACCGACTATAACCCAAAAGTGCAATCCAACCACGGCTTTATGGCCTACCAAAAATCCACAAACCGGATGTTTCGGTGAGACCGATAGTAGACGGGATAGAGTTCCCACCGCATGAGCCAGCCAGATTCTTGGCAAGTATCCTAAAACCCCTCATCGGGAAATCCAGTATTTACATTAAGAACTCATATGACTTTGCCAACAAAGTAGCGGATGTCACCGTTGAACCAGATAACATCTTTTTAAATTTCGATTTCATTTCTTTGTCTACAAACGTGGCAAAAGGGGACTCTTTAGAAATAGCCAGGCGACTGCTACTAGCGGATACCACCCTTTCAGAACGGACACAGCTTACGCTAGATGAAATAGTGGAAGGTATAAAACCATGCCTGAATATCACCTACTTCTTTTTTAATCCGTGGTTTACACAAGCGCAAGGTCCAGCAATGAGATCTTCAATATCCCCGGTTTTGGCAAATATATTTGTGGAAGGATTTGACCAGAAAGCTTTAGCCGGATTTCCATACCCACCCAAGATATTCTGGCGTTATGCAGATGACACCTTCGTAGTAATGAAACGAGACATGGTCAGTGAGTTTTACATGGGGTGAGATGGCTCAAGTGGTTAGAGCACGAATTTACTGGCTGGAAGGTCCGTGGTTCAAATCAGACCTTGCCTCTCGAATTTCTGTCTAGGCTTGGGCAACATGGCAGTGTCCCAGCCCTTGTGCTTCCTTCGGGTAGTATGCCAGCTAGGCACCGGAAGAGTGCTATAGCTGAACGTCAGTGAGTTTTACAACTATCTGAATGAACTGAATCCACACATTAACTTTAGTATGGAAATAGAACCAACTTCGGGTATACTGGCCTTAATAGACTGCACGACATAAGGTCAGGAAAAAGCTAAAGGTCATTGCACGAGAAGCCAACCGACACTGGGACAGGTCTGAAATACTCGTCTGCCCATCCGAATTCGGTGTTCGCCAGTATTACTCAATCGATGCTTAGGCACGTAAGGGACCTTGCACAGAAGAAGCTGATCGGACAACGGCTTGAATTGAAGTAGAGGACAAACTTTGGGTTAGTGGATATCTAGCGAGGTGGACCAAGTGTTTAGGGTGCGAATTTGCTGGCCGGAAGGTCCGTGGTTCTGCCTCTTGACTTCCCTGTCTAGGCTTGGGCAACCTGGCAGCATCGGGTAGCATGCCAGCTAGGCACCAAAAGGGTGCTACAGCTGAACGATTATCATTATTTTTATTATTATTATACCTAACTAGGCGTCAGTTGCGAAGGTTGTTAGTACCGGTAGGGAAACTCAGCAGGGAATGGATTGGGACTGTTGTTATTCCATATAAATCGGGGACATCGGAGATCATTCGAAGGATTCTAAACACGGCTATCATAAATAGCTTTCCAGAGGGGGAACACTGCACTTTGCACTTGTGCAATTGAAGGGTCACCTTCCTGCAAACAAAACCAGGGACAGTGTTTACAAAATTTAATGTAACGACTGCACTCAGGCCCATATAGGACAGATGGTCAGGGAACTTCAGAACTTCAGGGAACATCAGAATCGGGGAGCACAGAAGGAAATTAAATAGGCCGCCAAGAAACCCCGATGAATATTAAGTGTTACTAAAAGACCCGGCAATTTCGGAACACGCACTGGACACGGGACACAAAATGTGTTTAGAAAATGCTGAGGTTTTGGGGCGATGACTACGGTGTGCGTCACAGAGACTGATAACCTAGGCGGTAGAAGGCGTGGAACTGGCAAGCGTGTGGAGGACAGCCTTGGATCAGTCGAGCTAACAAGTGTTTGTGTGCGATTATCAGGAGTAGTCATCGTTTGAATTCCACTTTACCTTACCCACCTCCCTTCCGGCCAACTAGATTGTCGCAACATTCACAAGCCCACGAAGACCAACGAAAATCCACCAGTGGCACCTGCGGTGAATCATCAATTGAAGCACCCCGAAGAATAAGGGACAAGAACTGTTCGAAACTAATTTGAAACTCCTCCAACTCATCAATGCAAGATTTTAGCAACCACAGCAACCGACAAGAGTCGTTGACTGACACTCAACACTGATCTAGTGTGATAATCTGAAGAGGTCTTACTGACTGGTTCTTCGTCTGTCCTAAAACCTGGCCACTTTGGTGACCTGCTCAATTGGCCTGATGAAGCTTTTGTGTTAAAAGCGAAACGTTGCCCAATTAAAAAAACGCCGATTGTTTACCAGAACCTTCTGAAACGATGACTTCTTAATCGGTCCCAAACCTTTCCCAATTGATTGAAAGTGATCTGTCTGTACGTCAGTGAAGCATCGGTGTTGAACACTAATGTCATGCTGTCGATTATGATGATGATCTATGAGCCATAGCCTGTTCCCGATTCCTCACTTTGATGCCAGATGAGCTCGCTAGTGTCACAGTACTACGGCCGATGTGGTATGAAATTACTCATAGCTTCTTGGTTATACGTGGGCCGTCCAATTGCCAGATTTCCCAAACCTGGACAAGAGAGTGGTCAACAGTAAAAGTCTGACTTAAAATCATGGCTAGTTCAGACCATCAGGGTAGTCTGAATTTTAAGTGGCATGTCGCCGTACGTGTGCCAGTCTCTAGCTTAGCTACCAGGGACATTGTTGGCCAGATCACTGCCCATCGACAGATGCGATGTGAAAGGCTCTCTGAACGTCGCAAGTACATCCACCAGTATAGTTCATTGGGTTCCGCCCTACTATTGTGAGATACAATTTCACAATATTGGTCTCTCGGGTGCGTTTATTGTTTGTTGCTCGGGTGCATGCTAATCTGTTCACCGAGCTGTGCAATTACCTTGCAAACATTTCGTCACCCAATACGGAGATGTCATTAGTGCGCGATTGGGTGAGTATTTCTTGCTTATCTATGTGGCTTCGAAGAATATCTGTTATCTGAACGTGATTTATTACTGGGGACAGTCTCCTTGTGGGTTCATCGATCTCTGCGATTTGCGTTGCGTTATGACGGACCTTTCCGTGATTTGATGCGTATTCCGACTCCTGTCTTCAGTAATTTGCCTCCCTTCTTTCGATTGGTTTCCCTTCTTTCCCTTCACAACGCAATACCTTCTTGGTTTCCTTCTTAGATCTCTTGATATTAAATATATCCTTCGTACCTCACATACCTTTTGTTCCTTCCTTCTGACTTCGCTGGTGTAAGCTCCTACAGTTGTTTCTTATTTACATCATGCTTGACTGTAGATTAACCTTGTATCGCCCTCGTACATTTATACGTTTGTCGTTGATTCCAGCTGCTTGGTGGTGATGACCCTTGCGATTCGGACGGCCAAGATTCCCGCATGGGTGAACAGTGTCCTGATCACACCAGTATGTTTCCATTTACCAACGCCGACATAAAGTACGTAGCATCCTCAGAAAAAGGTGCTTTGAGTGGTCTGGACGCGCGGGACATAATGCTTCTGGATAAGGGTCCATCTCGACCAACTACACTGTCGCGTCATTCGCCGTTGAATGTAATTAGCACTGGTGATCCAGAGAGAGCCGCTGACGAACATCAAAATGGCACCTCCTCTTCAGAGCAGTCCCCGGGTTCTGAGACACCGTCCACGTCTTCTGAACAGGTACTGGACTCGAAGAATCCACCAGTCCAATATATACCATCATCCGAGATTGACCATCATCAGGTGTGTTCGGCCACCACTTATCAATCATACACATGATGACTATTTGGCTGTTGTTTGTGGGGCGTTTCTTGAGTGAAAATCAATAACTGCTTCATGAGTGTTGACTGGATTCCCGGTGAAACGGTTATAAACTCTATAGACCAAGTTTCCTTTACGGAAGGCAAAACGTTACCGAAAAGCTGTTGGGTTGTACATGATCGTTGCCCGCGCCTTAGGAAAACATAAGTAGTTGCCCTCTTTCTGAGGAAATTGCTTATTTTCCACATCACTACTCACACAAGATGAGCCTGTTTCGAGCACTGAAGTGACAGGATAAATGACGATAGGTACAACGACCAACCGTGGTCAGGATGATTGATTGTGGAAACTTGTACCCTCTTATTCCAGAAATTTCAGAACATGCTCAGTCATTTAAGTCTATGGAGGTAACGAGACAACTTTTTAGACAGATGGTTCTCCTTTTGTCTCTTCACGGTTGAAGTACTCTATTCCACCGTAACCTACTACTCATAGAATGCCCTTCAGCAGCCCTATGTCCATTCTGCCTGAACACAAAGTTGAGCACAATGGTCGAAATAAACTCATTTGCAAATTACATGGGTGCTAACTAGTTGCTCAGCTGAATCTCCGGTAAGCAGTTGTATCTTGCACAGCCACCGCCTTAGTATTACCATTAGTTTGAAACTGGCGGTGGGAACCACACATCATCATTCTTCCATGAATGCCTCAAGCATCTTCGATTTCCTGGAAATTTAGATTTTAACAGGAAACGATGGTTTTGACTGATTAACCTTACATCATGTGTCCAGCTCGGCCATTGGGGAACGGAGCTAATGAGGCTGTCTCTATCACTTTGTTTTCCACCTCACAGGGTCGTTTTTATCCACTTCACCTAGGTACTACTCCATGTATACTCATCTACTTCTTTCGATTCGTATTATCTGCAAGAATAACAATCCCAGTGCTTCCTGCTTCGCGATAAGCCCTGGTAGATTTTGATAGAAAGCATTTTTGTGAGTTTCAGAACCATAATCCACTGGGACGTATGGTGGCACAACAAACAAGCACTCTTTTTTGTCGAGTAACTTTGCGACTGATTCACTGGTAAAACTGAACTGCCCAGTGACGATTGCTTAGTGGAATCCAATCCAGTAAAGCACGTTCCGCTCTGGGGCTGATATAGCCTCCACTCCACGAGTCGGGATCACCGGACACATTGATAATGAGATGTTACGCAGCCAAGTTCGTTCTTGGCTCTTTACGGTGGATGACAACACCAAAGTCTTGTACAGGCGTTTCAGAGGCAATATTCATCAACTTTAAGTTCTGGGTGAGCTTTGACTTTTTAGAAATTTGACAGCATGTGCGTTGAAGGCTCTTATGTATAGAGGATTTCGTGGATTCAGCAAGTTGTTATTCTGTTCATTCCTACTGGGAAGCGTAGTATATAGGGAGAATCGGTCAGAAAATTGACAATCAGTTGACCAAGTAATGTTTGTTTGTAGAGCCGAAATGGACTGGGGAGGAACATTAGTGGAAAAAGATCTGTGCGGGCAAGTGTACTTCCCAGTTGCCTAGGTCGAGGAAGAAGGTTTGGTTGAGGTAACTCGATATGAGCCCCTACTCAAAAATCCGATCCCCGGGATGGAAGATATTTTCAGGGACCCTGTCCCTAACCTCTGACTCAAAGGTCTGACTCCCATAGCAGTGGTACTAGAGCTTTCTTTGTGGACCCTTCCCGGACCCGATTATTCAATAGTCTGAGTGGATTAGCTCCAAGGAGTTGGCCTAGCCCGAGACCGGCGATGCGTTTGAATCACATCGAGCTCATGTCACCGGCTGACATGGTCAACCTTTGGATGATTGGCTCTTAGGGCCAATCAGTTCTAACTAATCATTTCCCTGAGGAAAGCAATATCGTCGTGACTGGACATGCCAGTCACCTGGAGTAAAAATCCTACTGTCTTCACACACCTATCGCAGAACACAGTACGAATTTATCCTCAACTTACTTCATGGTACAAGTACTCACAGTTCGCGGTCTCTCTGCTCTTGTTCTGGTTGCTCCGTTTTGGCCTTCCGGACCCCTTGTCAGTGTATTCCACGGGTTCATTGCAGTCCGGAACTCCGGCCGAAACGACGGGATGGCACCTTCAGGTGGGGAAAAATGGTTTATCTCAGGCAGCTACTTTAATTAGTTTCTTTTAGGTGAAGTTAAAAACCACACTGATTCTCCTTTATTTCTTCATCAATATCTGTCCTGCATGAAATCTAGATAAGTAAGCTTATTTGAATTGGGAATTTGTACTCAAGCAACCTACTTGTTGAAATGGTTGAAAGGTGCTATAAAAGAGACCTTTTCATGTCCGGTGCGCCACCACATTAAATGAACGTCAGGCATGGTTAGTAGCAAGTATCAAGTTCAGTCAAATCAAGCTTGCAGATTGTTTTTTTTTTTCAATGAAAAGTAACACGATCAACGAATCGCTGGACTAGAGCAGGCTACGATCCAAACTAGGGGTCATGGTTTTTTCAATTACATTTGACCAATCGACTGGCAAAACCGTTTCTGATACCGGAGCCCCTCGAACTGCTCTCGTGTTGCTGTCATTCTAGACGTGGTTTGCTCTGTTCAGGCTATCTTGTTGCTGTGACGATGACAGACAGGCAAGCACACAAGCGGATGTGTTGATTGGTGAGCGAATTTCATCAGTTGACGGTATTAACACGTGATACGGCCTATCGGCACGTTTACCGCTTGTCTATGGATTGGTGACGTACAGCGTTGTGCACAGTGCATGAACTTGTCACATCTGTTTTCCGAATCACATTACCTACATTCCTGTATCGTATTTCAATTTCCACGGCACGCAGGGTTTCTCTGCTGTCGCTTGTCTCTTCAAAATGGTAAGCAGCCTCCTTTTTGGTGAATTAGCTTCGAATTGGCCAGTTCCTGACAGTCTTTTGTATCTACAATGCGGGATCTGTGCTTAGTCCCAGGGCTGAGTACACCTTAGAGACAGCAGACAGCTGTCTTTGCGCTGTTCAGTTGACTGGTTCAGTCAAAGTCAATGCACCTGACGCGGTAAACAGCCTGCTGTTGTATCAGCATATGCTCCGATAGACGGCAACTTTTATGGAGATTTCTCACGGATATCGTGATGCTGCAATGTGATGTGAATGCTCAGTCCTGAGGAGGCTCATCTTGACTCCTGATTCAACTGTTTGACGCTTACCGCGCAATCGATGGGGAACGACTTATTCAATTATGTGCTGAGGATAATTTGTATCTAGGCGGCACAAACACTAAGACCGTGTAACCAGGAGGTCACCAATCGCCAATCAGTTCTGGACTCATTTGGACCGTGTGGTAAATAGTTGCCGGTGGAAATACAAGATTGTGGTCAAGGCACTGTGCACATCCGCGTACAAACTCGCTTCTCCTCGGGAGCACGCCGGTTGATGTATCTAACCTTTCAACTGTTTCGGTGCCTAGCTGCCATGCCACCCGAAGGAAGCACGAGGAGTAGGATACTGCCAGCTTACTCAAGTCTAGAAGTCGGGTTTTAACCACAGACCCCCCCCCCCCCGGTCAGTAAATTCGCGCTCGAACTACTGAGCCTTCTCAGTTAGTCACCTGCAAACTTTCCTCGACAATTTCGAGTTGAGTTTGCTGAGAGGCTTCCAGAAATCGAAGGATATGACGGTAGTAATGGTGGCTTGGATGATGATTCGAGTCATGGCCACAATTCATGAGACCATCTCCCCCAATAAATAGTGGGGCTCTCAGTTCGCTCACCGAAACGTCTTGTACGATCCACTGACTAGTTCAGCTGGCCCTCGTCAATTCAACCTCGGCATCGGTCAGGCCGCCATCGATAACGGAAGTTCTCCATACAATTTTGTGGTTTCAGCTCAACGAAGCAAGTGGTCCAGACGGTTTGCATCCCGCACTCTTAAACAAAGTGTGGATTTCTCCTCTGGATGACATGAAGAATTCAAAACTTCTGGAGTGAAGAAAGATACCGCTATACCAGAGCGCTTCGGCAATGATTCCTGCATTCAAAAAGGGTGGGAAAACTGTGCAAACGACCGGGCCGTCAGTCTAGTAGCCAGAGTTTCCAAGATGCTCTCTGATATGTAATGTAGGTTGTTGCATCATCTTGAGAGTCAGATGCGTGAGAATCAAGCCCGGTTTCGTCCCATTCGGGGTCGCATCGACTTTACTTTTACTTTGAGCACTGTAAGAACCGCCTACTTGTCGTACAGTGGTTGTAGGCGCCATGATTTCGTCCATCGATGATTTGGGGATGTCGGGTAGATAGCGGCGCATTGGAGGCGGGAGCTGATAATTGGTGCGTGCGTACAAACTCGCTTCTCCTCGGGAGCACGCCGGTTGATGTATCTAACCTTTCAACTGTTTCGGTGCCTAGCTGCCATGCCACCCGAAGGAAGCACGAGGAGTAGGATACTGCCAGCTTACTCAAGTCTAGAAGTCGGGTTTTAACCACAGACCCCCCCCTCCCCGGTCAATAAATTCGCGCTCGAACTACTGAGCCTTCTCAGTTAGTCACCTGCAAACTTTCCTCGACAATTTCGAGTTGAGTTTGCTGAGAGGCTTCCAGAAATCGAAGGATATGACGGTAGTAATGGTGGCTTGGATGATGATTCGAGTCATGGCCACAATTCATGAGACCATCTCCCCCAATAAATAGTGGGGCTCTCAGTTCGCTCACCGAAACGTCTTGTACGATGCACTGACTAGTTCAGCTGGCCCTCGTCAATTCAACCTCGGCATCGGTCAGGCCGCCATCGATAACGGAAGTTCTCCATACAATTTTGTGGTTTCAGCTCAACGAAGCAAGTGGTCCAGACGGTTTGCATCCCGCACTCTTAAACAAAGTGTGGATTTCTCCTCTGGATGACATGAAGAATTCAAAACTTCTGGAGTGAAGAAAGATACCGCTATACCAGAGCGCTTCGGCAATGATTCCTGCATTCAAAAAGGGTGGGAAAACTGTGCAAACGACCGGGCCGTCAGTCTAGTAGCCAGAGTTTCCAAGATGCTCTCTGATATGTAATGTAGGTTGTTGCATCATCTTGAGAGTCAGATGCGTGAGAATCAAGCCCGGTTTCGTCCCATTCGGGGTCGCATCGACTTTACTTTTACTTTGAGCACTGTAAGAACCGCCTACTTGTCGTACAGTGGTTGTAGGCGCCATGATTTCGTCCATCGATGATTTGGGGATGTCGGGTAGATAGCGGCGCATTGGAGGCGGGAGCTGATAAATTGGTGCGTAAATACGGGGCTGTCAGAAATCCACCGCAATGGCCCACGGGTGCCTCTTCTAAATCCTTGCCCTCCATAAAGGATCTGTTTGTCTCTCCAGTGGACTCATACGCGCTTGCGGCACATTCCTTCCTGACTTCACTGCACCCATTGGCGTTAGGTAGTGGTGTCCTCTGTCGTTCTCTTTGACTTCGTAATCGTTGTAGTGTTTAGGATATTCTTTAGCCCGGGAATCGAAGTATTTTCATAGCAGTCCCTTCTCGAAACGGAATTTCACTCCTTGAATCAGGCGTTTAAGAATGCAAACTACTTGATTATGCTGCATAGTTCGGTGCTTGTTCCGCACCAGTAATGGGCTATCACACAAGGTGGGGGTCGAACTCACACCTCATACCTGCGGGGCAAACCATTGGTGTGGTGGATAAGTTTGTCTGTCTAGGCAGCTTCATAAGTCTTGGTGGATTGGTGGAAGACGGTGTCACTTCCCGAATTAGGCAGGCCTGGACAGCATTTGCCAACCTCCGACAGTTGTAGTGCTGACGTGGGATGCGGTTGACTCAAGAGTAGGGCGTATAATGCCACAGTCCTACTTTATGAGTCGGAGACATCGGCACCACGTCGGGAATATTTTTGAAATCTGTCTATCTCTGACGATCACTGCCATCAATGCAGACGCTGCGGAACTTGGGTGATAGCAACCAAGTAGCGCAGTGCAAGTCGCACAGACTAAGGCCCTCCGTGTTTTGGATACTTTTCTGCAGTGCTTCAGATTACTTCTGATACAGTTGATCATTCGGAAAAACGTTTCCTTCTGTGTACGAAGAAAATCCTCTTCTTGGTTTCCAGTGCGTTTTTCTGCTGTTTAGATCTGGTTTTAGCTGCTCGTCAGCTAATCAGTGTTTCCAACGTAGTTCAGCAAGGATATAAGTACTCTACAGCGATTCTCAGTGAGTTTACTATGACTGACAACTGAGTTTGAAAAGGTAACAGGTGTTCGAAACGCAAATTTGAGCCAATTACTTCGGCGTTTGATTGTTAAGACCGTGTGGAATACTGAGTGACGTAATGTGAGATACTGCTCAGGGGCGACTGGAAACAAAAAATACCATGATTAGCGACAAAACGCATTCATTCACCTGAGTCACGAGAGTTTGTTTGAAATTTCGGATATTGAAGGGGCGAAATTTGGTGTAATGGCTTCTCTGATAAGTCATTCAACTCAGGATGTATAAACGACCTTGCACATAATTTCGGGAAACCGACTATGCATGGCAACCCTTTCAGTTGATTCATTTGGTAGGTTCGCATTAATTGTGTATTAGTTAGTGGACTTTTCATGTAAGCTCAACGACTTGTACATGACTTTTTGATCGGAACGCGCTTCTGTTTCCCCGTAAAGTGATTTTCTTAGGATACCAGCCAGCCTAAACGACTTAATAGCCAAACGACTGAGCACACTGGGGCGCAGTTTTTCCTGTGGTTACGTATTACAGCTTAGGTCTCATCGTTTCTCAGGCTTTTTTTAATCATTCCAGCTATTGGTCAGTTGTCATGCTTATTACCCAGAGAACAAAGCCCAACTTGATATTCGAGCTTTCTGGCTCACAGTATTCTACGTTTTATTTTGTCAACTTATTCCGTATACCATATCGCATCAGTAGGAGCGACAGTTTTTGACTTGGTCACATGCTCCGTGTACCAGTTGACCGGCTTCCTCGAAGAGCCCTTTTTGTTCCAACCACGCGAACGATAGAAACGAGCTATGGGTTGTCAAGCGACGGCTTGATCGTCGCCGTCTCCCTGGATGGTGACACCGAGACGGGAGACATCAATGTCTAGCGACATTGTCAAACGTTACTTAGTCACGCCCTTAATGGTAATCATGCAAGCTGTTGCCTTCACTACATAGTCTTCCTTCTGATCTCCCCACTGAAAGCTACACTAACACCTCTGTGTTTACAAATCGATTAATATTTGCTACCGCCTCAAGTGTGTAGCTATCGATCCCACCTCCCCAAATCATCGGCGAACGAAACTGTGGCAGCTGGAACCACTTAGTGGCGAGTAGGCGGTTTTTTACAGGTGATGATGGTGATGACATGGATTGACGTTAACAGTTTTTGTGCTCGCCGGTGAACTAGCCCTCTTGGGAGGAAATTATCAATTTACCTGCGTTTGTATGAAAGTGGCTGTGCACCAAAAAGACTGGAAGCTCCAGAACCAAAGTCCATCGTGACCAGATTGGGCAAATCTTGACTGCATTTTAAAACTGATTCTTTTTTTATACGTAGGTTTGAGGAACACTTGCTCTGCGTTGCGCTGTCGCATGCTTTCAGCACTCTCATCCAAACAACTTAGTTCCACCGATACGCAAAAAAGTCCAAGGGACGAGTATTATTCATTTTTCAATCCTCATCCAACATCACCTTTTTTGAGTGCTCTAACAACAATAATGTCGAGCCCCTTAGTACTACTTGTCATGATGCATCGATCTGAACGACGAAAACAGTAAGCTAGCATTGGTACTTTTCCTCGCTGCGATTGTCGGGTTCGTATGAAGGATCTCACATGTGAAAAACACTTTAAGCAACAAAGGCTTCTAAGTGTCTTGACAAATTGCCGTGTGAATTTGGTTGCGTGGCTCTTGCGTGCCTTTGTCTCAGTGGACACCTGAAAGTATGATAGCATAATTTCCCTTGTGCCGAACTGGGATCGCATGTGTTCGGATACATATCTCTGTATGTGTGTTCCCGTGACATCTGAAGTGCGCGATGGCACGTACTTGCTTGTCTGTGGCGCGCAGTATGCAGTTGTTGCCTTGTGAGAAATTGCCGCATCCTCTGATCCAACCTAGCATGCAACTTGTTTTATTTTCTTTCGCTTAAGGTTTTCTGTTCATGTCTGTCCGTGTCATTCTGGCTATCCAAATGTGTCTGTCTTTTGATTCTTTGATGACTTACAGTGTGGCTTCAACTTGAGCGGTGACCTTTACCAATCGTTGCCAGTAGTATTTGGTCTTGGTAGTCGATTTTGCGGCACCCGTATGAAACCCGTATAGTTTGGGTTGTCTGCATACTGAAAGGGTCTACCATACTGTCTGTTCCTTATGCAGGTAGAGCATCCCTTTTCGCTCGTGACTCTTCAGCAGTACTTGGGATGTGTATAACTCACAGAAAAGACCGCACATAATTACTTCACTTATCGGGTCAACCGAGCACCGACCATTCGTATCCATATTGTGCCGATGATTTTGCTGTTTATTCCCAACATAGATTGGACGAATTTAAGGGCGAAGGTCCCCGTTGTGCACTTATAATCGTCCAATGGACTGCTCCACAACGCGCACAACACTTAGTGGCTCGAAAACTCGACCTAATTTCTATTCTTTCGGTTCGGTAATTCTCTACAGTGATTGTTCTCGAGTCGTAGTCTTTTTGTCCATACCATCCCCTAATAATCCTGCTTTCTTATTTCTGCCACTTCAGCTGCAGTTCATAGGATCGGGAGCGTTCGGCACAGTCTATCGTACTCTGTGGCGTGATCAAGTGGTCGCCTTAAAGATTCTCAATCTACCTTCCGGCAAGGTGAGTTTATCGACTCTATGCAGTGGTTTCTGCTCATGTGCTCGCATCCATTTCCGGATTTGTTGTAACATCGAAGTGTGTGATATTTACTTCGGAAAGCACTGCAAGTGGGTTGCTCTGAGCTGCATGTCAAATTAAGGTTACTAGCCTGGAGTGTGAAAAGATTTAGCGTTTCATAGGAGACCGGATTCTTGCTAGAGGCTCATTACAATGCACGTGGTAGATTGTAGTGATAGCAACGTCTTGGGTCAATTCTCGGTCTGATTCTCCCAAGCTAGCTTTTTCAACAAAACAGCCAAGGATACACCCCAAAACAGGTCAAACCCCATGTACATTCTCACGCCTTTAGATGCGGTGCTCAGTGGATACTGGAACATGACTGTCTGTTGGGTCCACATTTTCAACTAGTGAGAGCTCGCCGGACTGACAGGCTGCTCAGTTTTTCTTACCAATCACGTGCAAGATGAACTTATCACAGCAAATTATCACGAGCAGCAAGGTGGTATTCGCGTGCGATTCCGCGCAACACAGAAGTTGGATGGCCATAGAAGTGTTTATCCAGATGGGCGTGTTTCTATTGTGACTGCTTTATTTTTTGCGGTGTGTTCACGAAGGCCTTTTTGTTGTCATATTGTCCGCTTGCTCCCATTTAACCCAACCTGGGACTCTTATGAGTAAACAATGATCCGGTTTGTGGGCACCTTAAGGTAGCCCTCTCATTGTAACCTTTGGAGAATCTAACCTTCAAGAAGTAGTGGTGTTCAGACCTCAACTGCCACCGAGCACATTTAAGCCACTCACTCCGTTTCAAATCGACTTCACCGTATGTCCACTGTTAGAGATCCAATTCACCATTTCGTTGTTGGTTCGTAAGCTCCTGTTTTACCGTTCATGAAGCGTTCCACGGCCTTCCTCCTAGTTTATAAGTGTGGGATTTTCACTCTGCATCACTGAGACATATTCCTTCTTGGTGTTTTCACATCACTGATACCTTCAAGTTAGAGAATGTAATCCTCGTTTGATTTGACTGTCATTACCCCATCACAGTTTAATCAGTTTGTACCTTAGACTGACACTCCATTTCATTGGTGGTTTGAACAAATCTCATGTGTGAATGCTTGTCAGGTTTATCTTGACTGAGAGTTCGTTAGATAGTTAAAGTGCTTGTGTCCCAAGTAACTAAAAACAGATGTTCAAGTCGATTACCGTAACTCATCTGCTCTGAAGCTGTCCTAAATGGTAGAATGTAGACCACCAAAGTCAGATTGCACTCGGGGCTTTCAGCCCTCCATGTTATCCTCCTGATGGCAGTAAAACCTCTTACTGGGAATCAACCTTTTTATTCCATGGTCCCGTTAGAGTATTATCCTTTCTGGATGTGGAACTTCCCACCGTTTGAGCCAATGGATCGAAAGTGATAGATATTCTTTCGCTAGCTTTGCCCTGGCACTAGACTTTGTTGTCGGTCATATCATGTTACCTAACAGTAGTTAAATGACAGGATACTCATGAAGCTTGCTTTGGTGGGACACCGCTGCATAAGTTCTCCCTATGGGGTAAATTCAGACCGTCACTTCGAGGCCGAAACCGATCTGATTTACGCAGCTCCTGTGGTTGTGGTAATTTCATATGTTCCATCTATTGTCGAAGGTTTTGGGTGTTGGTGATATTTTTCTGATGATGATGTAGCTCCATAATTGACTCCAGGTGCCAGGAGATTCAATTCGAGATAAATGACACTGAACAACACAACACGATCGTCTGTTTTCTCGCAGTTCAGAATTATCGTTTTGTAGTTTTAGACTCATCTCCTAGCCACAATGTAATCGAGCAATAATCTGGGCCGGAACACTTGTATTAAGAATTTTCTTGGATTATGAAACGAGAAATGTGACAACACTGCACGGTTGGTGAGGTTCTGGTGAGTATAATCAGACTTCATGCTTAGACGTGTCACTTGTTACCTTGGATATAGGGGCGGATATCCGGTCTGTCATCCCATCTGATACCGGATTTGTTTTGCCAACGTGTAGTCGATCTTCACCTAATTGAGACAACGCAGAATAAACTGGCACAGCGATTGGGAACGTCTATATCCCTGAAGGCACGTCGGTGACTGTCCTCAAACAGGATTGAAAAATGTCAGTCAAAACCTCATTTACCTATTCACTAGGAGGAATTTATAAAAAATATGAGGCAAATAGGTCGGAACTTACCAGCCAAATCTTCTTCGACGCGAAAGCACCATGTGGTGGTTCTTTGTTCCACTTCCCGGTGTTTTTACGCCAATTAACCGAAGCAATGACCTTGTGGACTCGGATCGGTTTTGACTAGATCTATCACCCAGTTCCAGTGGACCAGAAACATGGATGAACTCATAACTGTATCGTAAGATTTCCGTCGCACCGTTTGGTAGCTGTATACCAAAGAGTCACTTCCACTTTGTGATATGTAGGTTAGATGGCACTAGTCGGAACCTGCTTGACTTGACGGGAATACTACTTATCGTAATGCATACCGTATAAGCTGTAAACTTCAGAATCGAGACAACGTTCTGATTTTCTTCTGGATGGCTTGATTGCTCGACATCCTCCACAAGGTGTGCTGTCCACAGAAAGAGGTGGTTTCCTTCCCTTCCCCACTTTTTCTCCATTTTTTGTGACAATTACTCCTAACCGAATGTCTTCAATCTCACGTAGGTCTTGCCTCCCCCATGTTTCCCCGTTCGAGTTTCTAATCTTGGAACTGTTTCTTCCGCTCCTGAAGAAGTCTTGATTACTATGTTCAACTCATGCTTGTTTGAGGTGTACGTTGTCTTTTTCGCTCTCATTGTGCTTGCTGCCTTGTGGTTAGTTTGATTTGTGTGGGGATATATCCCATCTATTACGATTTCCACCTACTGATTCATCTAAGTGATTCCTTCTGTCGTTACGTCGTGTTTTTCGTGTTATACAACTCTTATCACTTAACGTCGGAAGATAACCCTGACTTTCAAAGTCAAACACAATTCGTACGTGTGGTATTACCGAGACCTGACTTTCCTGCCTGACTCTCGACTGTTCCCAGTGAAATCAGTTATCGAAGGATATTATAGCCACAAACGTTACGCTGTGTGCTACAAATTTGCGTCGCTTGTTTATTCCGATTTCACTGGTCACAGCTTTAATGAGATATCCCCGGCAGCTGAAGCTGATTAAATACCATTTCGTAGGACATGTAATTCCACAAGTCGCTTTCCACAAGTGCACTTTATCATGGCCAGGCCACAGTCCAAGCCTTGAAAATATTCCAGTTAACGCGATCCAAGTTTGATTTTCTACGCATACGTGAAATGGTTTTTTAGATAACTCATGCGGCACTTACACGACTGTTGTCTTTTGACTGGGGTTAGAACCCTTGATGTATGCCGTTTGGAATCTTATGGTTCAGCATGAACATCTTCAAGGTTGGTTGCTGAGTATGCCAGTATTGATATAATAGACAACAGTTGCGAACTCGAGCGATAAGTAATTCCAGATCGCACAAAATTTAACACGAGCTTGTTTAAGCCTAAAGCCTTCAGGTCATCTATTGGCTTTTGAGGCGATGCTGTGAACTAGTAGTTCACAAAAAAGCTAATGACATGTTCGTACGCAATTATAACGGATCCCATTTCTCCAATGTGTCTATGGTATTTTTTATGATTTTTTTCCTAATATTGTCTTGGTATATTGCAGAGTTCTACGATCAACTCACGCCTCCCGTATCACTCACAGGGGTGAGATGGACCAAGTGGTTAGAGCGCGAATTTGCTGACCGAAAGGTCCGTGGTTCGAACCCGACCTCTTCCTCTCGACTTCCCCTGTCTAATCTTGGGCAACTTGGCCGTATTCCAGCCCTCGTGACTCCTTCGTGTGACATGGCAGCTAGGCACCGAAAGGATGCTACAGCTGTACGATTTGTTTTTATTAATTACCATTCACGGCTGGACAGTAGTTGCTGTCTAAATCAAAAATCATTCAGCTGTTGCACCCTTTCGGTGCCTAACTGCCACGCTACCCGAAGGTTGCATGAGGGTTGGGATACTGCCAGGTAGCCCAAGCCTACACAGGGGAAGCCGAGAGGCAGAGGTCTTGTCCGAACCACGGACCTTCCAGTCAGTAAATTCGCGCTCTAACCACTTGGGCCATCTCGCCCCATCTTGCTGACCTCCTAGCTAATAGTTCAGCAAACTTATTGATTTGGAATGGTTGAACGGCCTTAACGACCAACAAAGCTTCTCGGCGTGTCGTCTGTTATGGAAAACTTCAATTAAACAACTGTACGGCAATTTCGAACTCAGTTTGTGTATGTCAACGCATGGACATTTGTTTGACACCTGGTTGACCCCAAGGCAAGAAACATATTGTTACGCACAGAAAACTGCAGCACTTCAGCCGCGGATGTTATCCACAATCTGGGATTTGCTTTTCATTGAATTTTCATACTTCTCACTAGTTTTTTGTTAGACACAAAAATTGCAAGGTTGCGTTTGAATGCGAGGTCTCCGAACCAATGAAAAACAATTACTGGATCATGGACCCGGAGAGTGGTTTAGTCTTCCTTTTCTCCGCAGTAAACTACACATGGGCTCAAGATCCCCTTCTCTTATGTGCTATCGCATTTTCTGGGTCTTTTGCGTACCCCTCTCAACGACGGATCGTCTTTTGTCATTTCAGAGTTTATTCTTGAGACAAGAATGCTCGTACTAGAACTGTTTCACACAAAATTCCCAACATTACCTTACAAATGTTGTCGAGGTTCGTATTGTCAATGTTGGGGCACTAGCTTTCCTCTGAGCTGTTTGTGGCCCATATGGGTTACCCATTCGATGCGACGAGGACAAGATACCGACGTGATTGGTCAAATGGAAACTAAAATACTCGACACAAATTCTAGTTGAATAGAACAACAAGAGCATAAACATCGGGCGGCAAGTATTTCACCGAATTCGCTCACCCCAAACTGAGCCAAACGTAAGATAGAGTCCAAAAGCTGTATACATGTTGAGGTTGGTATTATGGTTCACGGAATTGAGTGATTAAAAAGGTATTTAGAAGTACAGAATGTCCCAATACGAACAGGATTGAGGTGTTTAGTCTATTCTTCCAAACAGGTTTCTCTACAAAGAGGTTATCTTGTATACAATCCTCCGAAGACTGCCTCCAGAGAATCAAAAAGCCATTTTTATCTTTGTATCTTCCGGTCGGAAATATATGTGTGGCCGGCGATTGCGTTAGCCACAGACTGGGCTCAACTTATGTGCGTTTATCCACGTTACTAAATGGAATAGCAAGAGTGAAACTTTATTTCAGGAATTTCCGTCGCATCACCTACCCTTACAGGCTAACAGTCTGTGACCAGCACTCTCTTGATACTATTAGGTAGATATTTCATTCGTTTGTTTGCCCGTTTCGTAACTTGTCTTTGCCTGGTGAAACTTTTGTGTCATAACCTAAGCGCTAATCGTCCATAAATTCACCCATCGCTTTTCGAATTCCTGAAAATATATTTATCTTTTAGTGGTTCCTCTGAGCATTCTTTCCGAAAATGAGTTTTGCTCGTTCTGGATACTGATACACTGTCTTAAAATATCGTTAGACACAATTTGCAGTTCCTAAGTCACTAACCACCTAAGTGGCAGAACTTTTGCAGAGCGTGGTGACATTTAGCCAATTCTTGGATACCCACTAATAGACACTGGGTTGTATCTACACTCTGTCATTTTGTGGATGAATAATCACCTGTCTTTTGGTCTCCTGTCCGTTCAGTTGGTGGATGGTTATCTTCTTGATGGACATATTGTCCGGTAGAACAGTTTTTTCCTCTAGGCCGTGTCCGCTCAGCCCGTGATTAGTAACTTTACACCCCCATTTTGAATCGTTTCTACAGCCAAATTTACAACCCTTCTTCTCGTTTAGATTGACCGAGAAGCTTCGCACCTCTGTCGGTTGGCTCATCCCAATGTGGTCCGGTTTTTTGGGGTTTGCGAGCTAGGACTACATGATTCACCCGCTCTGGTGATGGAGTTCGCTCATGGCGGGCCACTTAATCGGGTTCTTGCTACTCACCCTATCCTCGGTCCTTCAACACTTCTCAACTGGGCCATTCAGGTAGCCACTGGAATGGCTTATTTACACTCGGATGCTCATTTGGTACATCGGGATCTGAAATCATCAAACAGTAAGTCGATAAAACTCGCGTTTTCTAATTGGGCTTGTGTTACGTTGTCTACAGCAGTACTTCCCAGGAGTGAGGAGAGATTTATTCTTTGGATGAAGCAGCCTAATCAACCGCATTCGCTTCGTTTGTTATGGCTAGGCATCTTTTTTGAACATTTTTCATGTTTACATGCATGTCTCAGGATAAATTCACTGCGATTTCGAACCGTAAATGTGTGAGGCGGATTGAGGTCAGAGCAGCTTTTGTGAACCTACATCACCTTTGGCGTGGGCGTGACATCAGCTTCTGTGTCAATGGTCGAGTTTACAGTGCTGCGGGGCTCTCTATATTACTATGTGGATGAGAAACCTTGCCGCTGCGCGCTGAAGACGTCAAAAGACTTTCAGTGTTTGACCATCGATGTCTTCGGAGCATTTCCCGAATCTGGTGGGAACACGGGATCAGCGATGCTGAAGTACGTTGAATGGTATTCGGGAGAAATAACTCACCCTCGATAGATGAACTGATCACACTGCATAGGGTGCGCTGGCTTGGCCACGTGCTGCGTATGCCATTCGACCGACTTCCTCGAAGGGCTCTTTTCTCACAACCACTTGAAGGGTGGAACAGAGCCAGAGGTGGCCAAACAATGACTTGGCAGCGAAGTATGAAAGCCATTACCAGCAAACTCAGCTGCGCTGGTCATTGGCGTCTTCCTGGATGGGGTTAAAGACATTGTCAGACATGGCCCAGTCGCGCCCTCAATGGCGCTCGTGTATCCAAGCTATTGCCTTCAATGCATAGCTCCTTTCTCAATCCCTCCACTTGACAGCCCACTGACAGTGCTGAATTTATGCACCAATTTATCATCTCCCGCCTTCAGTGCGCAACTACCTACCCCCCCCCCCAAATCGTCGGTGAACGAAACTGCGGCAGCTACAACCACTGTACGACGAGTGCGCGGTTATTACAGCTGACAATGATGATGATGATCCATTGCAATACTCAGTGCAATAACCAGTTCGTTGTTCTCGTCTTCCTTTGTTATCTATTCGCAGT